AATGTTTTCTCTTTTCCCTTCTTTTTCTTCGGCCTAAGTCGAATCCCGGATGCCATCACCGATTGCGAATCAATCGATGAAAAATCAGAAGCCATCAGACCCCTTCCTTCAGCCATAAGAACGATCGAACCTTCGCTGACTTAGTGTGCCTTCTTCTTGATTGCCTTCGGTTCATTCCTGTTCCAATCTCCTTTTCCTTCCAATTGATTATGCCTTCGTTCTTCCCTTCGTGTTTTGTATTCGTTTCCTTTGTCTTCCCCTTGACGATTGATCAAATGACGAACAAAAAAATCCCTTGACCGCTTTCTAATTGGGTTCCTATTTTGACCAGTCAAAAGTCAAATTGGAATCAAACTTAAATTTAATTTATTCAAAACTTACCCTTATTTGACAAATACTTTACAAGATCACTCCTTTTGGATAGAAACACCCTCATACAAACGGAGGGCACAAATGACTGTTAAGCCTTTGGACCAATTCCAAAACAAATCAAACTTTTTGGACCAACGGTGCAACCCCAAAACTTTTTAGACTAAACATCCAATTTTTGACATACCACAGGGACCAAACTTGCAATTTTGTCCCCACTTTTCTATGAAAGTTGTTAAAGTAAGGTAGATTTTCGTGTCTATTGGTAGTTATCACTGACAATTAAAAGGTACTTATAATGGTTTTATGATGTTTATAAGGTGGATATATTTAGTTAATCATATGGTCATGTAAACGAACATACTTGTTGGAGAGGATCACAACTGTTAGGTTGGAAGGAGTGGTACTACACTCTTTTATTTTGTCACACTCTCTTACCATACATAACTCCGAATTCAAAAAAAAAAATTAAACATTTAACAACAACCATAAACCACCATTGTTTACAAAAGAACTAACACTAAAACAGGAAGATATACACGATCACGCTTTTGCTTTCCCGCGATATCAAAAGTACCTGAAACAATAAACTGAAACTGTAAGCCAAAACTTAGTGAGTTCTCCCAAAGTACCATCACACAACATATAAAACACACAGATTATCATGCTAGGTCTACAACCTCCCTGTTGGATTGCCCTGCATACCACATACTAGGTCCACAACCACCCGGTTGGATTACCCTGCATATCATGTACTGTGTCCACAATCTCTCGGTTTGATTATGCTGTATATCATGTGTTGGGTCTACAAACTCCCAATTGGATTACCCTTGGCCCATAACCTCCTAATTGGAATGTCTTCGCTCACAACCTCCCGGTTGGATTTTCCTCGTCTGTTGATTGACAACACAAAGCAGTAGGGTTTGATCCCTAGAATCCTATTTATAACCATCCTAGTCAATATAGCAGAGTGCATTCGACGTACTCATCTGTACGCGGGGTGTACTCTGCTTGACCTAAAATTCGGGGTTTAACGGTATACGTGCAACGTACCATTTGGTATACCCAACATACGCACCTGGTCATCCAACTTCTTAATAATGCTTAATACTTAAGCACTTACACCCAAATTAAAGATTTAAGTCCCAAATGTTGTCCTTAACCCTAAAGTTTCCAACTTTGTGATCTTCCATGGCTATTAAGTGCTTACAACCAAAAACCCCAACATCTTAAGCCATTTAGACACCCAAACTCATGCATGGGGAAGAACTAATAACTAAGATCCTATTTTATCACTCAAACTACCTTAAAATGTCCCAAAGGACAACTTATTGGGTCTAGGATTGCTCAAACCCAAAAAGAAGCAAGAATATGGGGTTAATACGCATAAATTATTAACATATACAAGATCTAGTGATAGAATATTGAAGTTCAAAACTTTATACCTCAAAATGAAGCTTGATGGTGGGGTATTTGTAGATCTATAAGGTCTTGATCTTCCAAGTTAGTGCTTCTATCTTCTCCTTGCTTCAAAGGCACCACAAACACACACTTTTGAGCTCAAAAGAACACACATAAGAGATTAGGGTTGCAATTGACAAAATGAAGGTTGGAGGCTGGTGAAGTAATGAGCATTTAAGAGTTAATGATGTTTATATAGGGTCCACACACTAAAAATTAGGGTTTTTGGATCTGGCACGTAGGCCCAAGTATGTGAGCTCGTCCTAAATATTACAAAAATGCCACTATAGGACATTTTGCAACATTTTGCATGCGTAAGGGCTAAAATTCAAGTAATCTTCATACTTATAGTTGTACACTCATGTTATTTATTTTGGCATATATATGATTAATTCCATATAACCATACCATTCATAAAGTCAAATATGCCACAAGTCCATCCTTTGGTAGACACTTAGCTTTGACGGTTAGGCTTTGTTAGGTTTTAAGCTTTTGTGTTTTAGATTTATTTTCTTTACTTTTTGATATGTTTTATAAAATTTATAAATTTGTTAGATTGAAGATTTAATCTTTTGTTTTTTCATTGATTTTTTTATAATAAATACGACTCCAAAGGTTTTATTGTGTAGGAATGTTTTCAATGGCTAAATTTCCTAAACATAATACATACAAAATAGTTGTTATGAAAAACCGATATAATAATAATAATAAATATTCCCCTAAATCCAGAGGCCCTTACAATTAGAGGTCGTGTGTGACCACACAACCTGCACACCCAAGGTTTGCTAATGATTATAAGTAACATGAGTCAATTCAATAGCTTATTTGCAGTTACTAGGGTTTTGGTAGGATTCCAACAAGGACTGTGGTTTCGATAAATTATGTACGAAAAAATTTCTAGAATGCTTTCTGAATACTTGATTTCTTTTATAACGATATTAAATCCTCATTTTATACCGAAGGGATTACGTAAATACCAACTATATATAAGGCTATACATGTTGGGTTTTATTAGCATCAATACACTATATCTAAGGTATCAGAAACAATTATAGATTTACCTAAGTGTACATCTACCATAGGATCTAAGTTTTGCTAGTTTAATCGATGTACATTAAAATCAACTAAACAGAAGGATAAAACTTTTGCCTCTTGAATGTTATATCATATGATGGACATCTCTTGCAAAGGATGAAGAGCCCAATGTAAAACTACTCTACTGAAGTTTGTCCCAAAACTCCAAAAGTAGAACAAGGAAAACCTAATTAGGGTAAGGTCTAAAATTTAATAACCCTAGAGAGGGGATATAATTTTCATCCATAGATAATGATAAGATATGGGAGAACAAAATTTTAAGGGAGTGTTTAACTAGTGTTAGATCCCTAGAATCCTATTTATAACCAGCTGATTAATCCTTAAGTAATTCAAATTTCTAAAGTATAATTCACTACTAGAAATTAAAAACAGCCTTTTACGATGCTCATTGCACGTCGTAAAAGGCTCAGACGACGCGCAAATGCACGTCAAGGAAGGCCCTGTCATAAAGAGAGATGACGCGCTTTTGCGCGTCGTCTATAGACGACGCGCATTTACGACGCTCATTTACAACACGCATTTACGACGCGCGTTTACGACACGCAATGCGCATCAAGAAATGCTCTGTTATAAAGGAAGACGTCACACATTCGCATGTCGTAACTTTACGACGTGCGTGTTAATGACACGCAATGCGTATCAAGAAAGCCCCCGTCAGGATAGGCCATGTCATAAATGAAGATGACACACATTTTTGCGTATCGTAATTTTAAATTTGTTTAAAAGAAATATTTATTGATTTACTTATTTTCATATTAAATTTGCATTTCATGTCTCATAATGGAAAATAAAATACCATATACAAATAATACAATGCATTGCACAAAAGTTAATGTTATACAAATAATCATTCTAATAGTAGACAAATGTAATACATCAAATGTGAAAAAGATGAAAGTCATCAACTAATAATAGTTGAACTACAAGAACTTGTTGTCCACCTTCACAACATCCGAGCTACTTTGTTTGACATTATGCACATAACCAAGACCTACACATGGCAAATCGGTAACTTAACATGCAATACAATAAAGAAATATGTTTAAAAATTTTCTATTGTTTTGAACACCTACATAACCAGCAAGCTTTTTTATACTCGGTAACTTAACATGCAATACAATAAAAAATATGTTTAAAAATTTTCTATTGTTTTGAACACCTACATGATCAACAAGCTTTTTTATTCTTGGTAACTTAACATGCAATACAATAAAGAAATATGTTTAAAAACGCGTATAAATATCAAAAAACAAGATAGGAGCCAATCATTCTATGACACAAGGAAAAATATCTCTAGAGAACTATGAAAAAAATATGAAACAAATGAATGAAAGTGCATTGCTATTTCTTTAATACTTACTGCATAGAGTAAGACTTGGCCATCATCCATAATTTTGAAGGACATTGATGTCTCGCTATGTTGCACATACTAAAAATAAAAAACAACAAAACTGAGTGACATATGGACTTATCTAGCTTGCTGAAATAGACATACAAAAGATTTTGCTGTACTAGCTTCCTGAAATAGACATACAAAAGATATTAGGAAAAGACCAAAATGCCCTTGTGTGAAAGTAGCTGGAAAATAAAATTGGTAATTTTTTTAATCAGCCTAACAAGAATTAAGGCAACTGCTATGCAAGATCTAACACGACAAAGAAGTTACTTACCAGAATTTCATGATATACAAATGTACGAAGAGCCTTCCCTGTCACAACCGTAATCTCACGCCTGAAGTACTTGACTGAATCCAGATAAGAAAGATAAACACGCCGATGGTTTGGCTGCGGGCAGTCTGCTCCAAATTCTTGAACATACATACCAAAAAGACACACTTCTACACCTTCAATTTTCTGAAACAATAGAACTACCTAAAACAACAAAGCCTAGTTTAGGGATTCACATACCAAAACCACAAGACAATGCCAACGCATATAACTGGGTAGATTTTTTAGAGTATAATATATTGTATAGGAAGAAATGTAGGGAAAGATGCTATAATAAACAAATCAACGAAAGTAGTACGGTTGAAATACCTTAGACTTATACCCAAACTCCATAGGGTAATTTTCCTCTTAAAAGATCTCAAGAAATTGTTGCTTGACTTCCAACTTCTTGTCCACAGAAGAGACCACTCTGACAACAAGTGCTTCTGCTCCAGGAACCTGATAATAAAGAAAATGTAAGATACATAGTTTATTGTTCATTCACAATGTATGGTATGGAGTTGTCTTTTCTTTTTTTTTTGGGGGGGGGGATTATAACATCACCTCATCATAAGTTTTCCCATATAACCTTACGCGCTCTAGTCTCTCCTACTTTAGTTTTCCAAACAACCTGCTCTCTATGTGATCACTGAGTATGGTTCGAGGTAAATCTTTTGCTCCAAGTACAACACTCTATGGTAGAGGCATCCGCTCTCCTCTTTCAACTTCTTCCATATAACAATTTGGACAAGTATAGGCGGGGGTTCAAAACTCAGCTTTTCAACTGCACATAGTTGACACGAGTTCTCACTCATCGAGTGTTCCAGAGCTTGATTCCTTTCTAATTTTTCTTTGCTCTGTATAAAATGAGAGATTCAAAAACAAACACAAAACAAAACACACCTCCATAAAGTAAAATGCAGATTCTAACCTGGCCAACCCACTGCTTGTAATGACTGAAAAATACAACCAATTTAAATTTTTCAAAAACAACCTGATTTCATTAAATTGTTTACAAAAAGGTTTTCAATACAAATCATTTAGAGTATTCCCAGAATCACATTGCTACAAAATCATGAGGAGCGGTACGATCACGCCTTCGCCTTGCCACAGTCTCCTGAAGAACCTGAAAAACATTAAACCACAACTGTAAGCCCGAAAGCTTAGTGAGATACCCCCAAAATACCAACCACATATACGCCCTTCTAGGCTAAGACCTTCCGGTCCCAAACATATTGCCTTCCGGCCCATAACATATAAAACATACATAACATAACAGAACATAGAACAGCCATGCATATCGGGTCTACTGTATGACTGGTCCGCCGTATTGGGCCTTCAGTCCACCGGATTCATCCTCCAGGTCTAGTCATGTCCTTCGAGTCTACAGTGTGGTTAGTCCGCCCGCACTGGGTCTTCAACTCACCTGGTCCACTCTCTGAGTCTACAGTATGACTGATCCGCCCGCATCGGGCCTTCAGTGGGCCTGGTCCACCCTCCGAGCCTCAGCACGTCTGGTCCGCTCGCGTGGGGCCTATAGCATATCCGAACCGCTCGCTGGACCTTCGGAACAACCGGTCCGCCCTGAGTATCTTGGCCTACAGCACAAAGCAGGACCGCCTCAACCCATCTCCAGTCCAAACAACCATGTACACATAAACATATAATCATATAACAGTTCACATTCAAACAAGCCGATCTAGCAGATCACATAGCATAACATACTCTAAGCAGGATACCGACCTAACAGGTCATTAGCATAGCATCTCCCTATCTCTTAGGATACCGATCTCGATCAGGTCCCTAACATATAGCGTCCTAACTCTCAGGATGCAAGCATATCACAACAAAAAATTAATAACAACTACCCGGATCTCAATCCGATAAGGGCCGGCCTTGGTGCCTTAGACCCTGTTGATATAGTGAGGATAACTCACCTCGAAACTGCCGGCTGAAAGGATAAGATCCCGTTGCTCCAACTTTGACACGAACTCCTCCACTGAACACCAAAACATTCAATTTAATAAATTCCCTTAATTACCAAAATACCCCTGGAAGACAACTGGTCAACCTTGAACAAAGTCAAAGTCAACCCATGACTGACCCTACTCGCTGAGTCAACCCGATGACTCGCCGAGTCCCTATGCTCAGAACTTCCCTCCATTCGCGACCCAACTCGCCGAGTCCAACAACTCTGAGTCCACTCACACCCAACTCACCAAGTCATCCCTTGACTCACCGATTCTCGACTCAACCAGGAAATATTAGGAGTCTTCGACAAGACTCGCCGAGTCCAAGAACAGACTCGCCGTGTCCAAGGCTATCTTCAACCTACTCGCCGAGTTGTTCTTCCAACTTGCCGAGTTCCAGGCCATCTTCAAGCAACTCGTCGAGTCCACCCATGTGACTCGCCGAGTATCACCGGTCTGAATCAATTCAAAAGCACTCCAGGCCATGCAATTGATCCTAAACATCGATCCAACCTCCTACAATCCATCCATCACGTAAAGTGGCAAACTTTACGTGAATCCAAAGAGATCTAGGCCTTATTCACCTTAGAACTAAGGTTTGGGACATGATAGCTCCATTAACAACACAAGAACAGGGGCTTTAATACTCTTAAGATCTTCTCCAGTCCAGATCTAAGGTAGCAACCTCAGATCCATCCTTCAAGCTCAAGATGTCACACAACTAAGCTTCCCACATCACCCCAAAATGAGAATCTAAGAGAACACAGCCCAAGAATGAAATATTACCTCCAAAGAATGCCTCAACAGCAATGAAACTCGAATCCAAGCAAAGCCCTTTGATCCAAGCTTCTTCTCCTTCAAGATTTCTTCAACCAACACCTCTCCAAGCTCCAATTTGCTCAACAATGGGGTTCCTCCACGGAATTAGGGTTTCTGGGACTCAAGGGGGATCAAGGAGGCTGTGGAGGAAACATAATGATCTTTATATAGGGCTCATTCCCCGGATTTAGGGTTTTCTTCGCCCAGCACCTACTCGCCGAGTCCATCTTTGGAATCGCCGAGTAGGCCACTTGACACGCGACCAAAGTCGCGACCTGACTCGCCGAGTCCATCCATGGACTCGCCGAGTTGCCCTTCAAAACTTACACTTTTAACCCTTCAACTCTACTCTTGCGATTCCGGGATGTTACACTGCCTGAGACCTGTTATATGTTCACGAACCTGCTCTGATGTAAACAACTCTATCATTGATACTCCCTTTACTTTTAGGTTCACGAACTTGATTCCAGTAGAAGGTTCTGCAGGAAGTGATGTACTTTAGACATATAACATTATAATACATGTCAGGCTTTATATTCATAATAATTAATTAGTTATAAACATATAATAGATTAAATAAAACACCTGAATATATGTTCTACAATTTCTTGATTGACTTGAGCAAGTGACTCATATACATGATGCCCACTTAAAATTCTAAGAATACCCTTAATTTCTTCAAACCAAGGGGGTTGATAGGCCTCATCCAAACACAATGTTCATTTAGCTTTCTCTAACAATGATGGTGTCTCCATAAACAAATGCAAATATAACAGTTTGTTATGTTAATGTCACATTTTGGAAATAAATAATGTTTGAACTAAAAAATGCTGACTGTTAGGTATACTCACCATATCAAGATCCAAGCATTGCATAAAGACCAACTATATCCTCATGAACAACAATGTTGATGTTGGGATCCACAGACACAATATTACCTCGTTCATAGCAAGCCAATGAGTTCATTTAAGCCAACAGGTTACAAATAAAAAATCATAAGTGCATACGACAAATGTGATGGGTTTTAGCCATAAGAACTTTCCTATGTGCGCATGCAAAACCCTAATGCTAGGATCTAGGCTTTCTAATTAAACATGCTTTGAATCCAAGACTTCTAATGCCTAATTAGGTTAAATAACAACATTGAAATAGATCTAGAATCATACCTTTGAATTCCTTGTTGATCTTGTTGTCTTGGAGCTTCTAGAGTCACAAATGTCACTCCTCTAATGGCTTACAAACACCAATAGCAAGAAAGATGATTTAGGAGAGAGGAGAGGGGAGGAATTCGGCCAGAGTATCTCTACTTTAGATGGTGTGTCGAATTCCCTCACCCCTAGGGTCTATTTATACTTGTAGACTCCTTAAGGATTACAGCTTTAACCCTAATTGGATAACTTAGACTTTAAGTTAATCCATATCCTTTCCTTGATAACCCTATGGACGATTTTAGCTTATCCAAGCCCTAGAAATCGTCCATCCTATCTTGGATAAGGATTTATAGTCTAAAGTGTAACTATCAAACAATTGACAGTTTATACCCTCTTATTTAATTAATCTCTTTAAGTCACCAAATTAATTCCAATTAATCTATGACTTATATTAATCAAATAACCATATATTATTCCTTATAATATTTACTCTCTCTTAACAAATCATCCATCAAGTTGCTATGGTGAAGGCAACCCAAAAGGACCATGCACAACCGGGTCAAATACTTGCCTAATATAGTTGCAGCCTTAGACACTATTCAACAGTCTCCCACTTGGATAAGTCTAGTAACTATACAAGTACAATTCGGTTTGCAATCGTAGCTCTCAAAGACACTATCAAACTCTGATCTAATCAATCTTGTCCTTTAGATAAGGGATCGTACAGTCCTCTGTTAGATATCATGCTGACAATCCTATGGAATGGTTAGTCTAGCATTTGATTTCTCGATCTCCGATTTATTCGGCATAGAACTTAATTAAACACATCAATTTAGTTCTGACCGGGCCCGACACATAAGTCAAATCAAATCATCGAGCGTCCAAGATATCGCTTTTACCTTTTGATAAAAGTTACAGATAAACTTCGACTTATATGCATTTACTTATTCATTAACCAACTATACATGACAATGCGTTTTATAACACCGAGTTACTGATGCGTTTTCGCATTATCAATGTACAATCAATTAACAAATAATAAACCATATATCTAGGTTTTAAGACTATATGATATTATCGTCTTGCGATCACCTTTTATATCGTATTCCATAAAGTGATTCCAGCAAGCACGGGTTTGTTCCAATGCTCAAAACCAGTTCATAAGCACTCATGAACGTTGCAGCAACCCTTTGCTATGTCTAACACCATTTAGACAATCTACACACCAATTCATGACAATCTTCATTCATATCTACTTCCAACATATGAATGATTGTGGACAATTTGAACAATTTGATTATTCCTAATAAATTCAATTATTCTGGAAGTCAAAACATGCAAAGTGAAACAATAGCTAAACGATTAACATAAAACAATAACATTACTCATAAATAAAACTCCTTTATTTAATCTCCAAATGTTAATTACATTTATCTATTATACGTTTCTAATACTATCTAATCTATACTAATATCATCCTTCAGCCCAATACTCCTAGCATGCTGCAAGTGCTTAACCCTACTCAGTCCCTTCGTAAGCGGATCTGCTGGGTTATCTTCTGATGATATCCTCTTAACTATGAGTTGTCCTTCTTCTACACGATGTCTAATGAAGTGATATTTTCTGTCGATATGTCTTGATCTACCATGATCCCTCGGTTCCTTGGTCAAGGCAACCGCACCTTCGTTATCACAGAAAATCTCCATGGGCTCCTTTATGGCAGGCACAACTCCAAGATCACCGATGAAGTTCTTTAGCCATATTGCCTCCTTCGACGCTTCGCTCGCTGCGATGTACTCTGATTCGCACGTTGAATCAGCTACGGTTTTTTGCTTGGAACTCTTCCTAGTTACTGCTCCTCCATTTAGGGTAAAGACCCAGCCCGACTGTGAACGGTAGTTGTCCCTATCGGTCTGAAAACTGGCATCAATATACCCTTGCACCTTCAAGTTTTCACTCCCTCCAAGGTCTAAGAACCATTCTTTCGTCCTATGAAGGTACTTAAGGATGTTCTTTACCGCAATCCAATGTGCTTTGCCAGGGTTCCCTTGATATCTGCTAACCATGCTCAAAGCGAAGGCTACATCAGGGCGAGTACAAGTCATAACGTACATGATTGAGCCAACTACGGAAGCGTACGGTACTTGGCGCATTTTTGCTATTTCAGCTTCAGTACTCGGACTTTGAGTCTTACTCAACTTGGAATTTCCTTGTATCGGTAGTTCTCCCTTCTTTGAGTTTTCCATACTAAAACGTTTTAGTACCTTCTCTAAGTAAGTATTCTGACTAAGTCCAATTAGTCTCTTACTTCTTTCTCTTACTATCCTTATTCCCAAAATGTAAGAAGCCTCTCCGAGGTCCTTCATAGCGAAACACTTCCCGAGCCAGGACTTGACTTCCTGCAGAGTCGGGATGTCGTTTCCTATGAGTAATATGTCATCGACATATAGAACGAGGAAGCTTACTATACTCCCACTGGCTTTGACATATACACAAGATTCGTCTTCGCTTCGTACAAATCCAAACTCTTTGACTTTCTCATCGAAGCAAAGATTCCATCTGCGAGACGCTTGCTTAAGTCCATAAATGGACTTCTCAAGCTTACACACTCTATTTGGATGCTTCGGATTCACAAACCCCTCTGGCTGAGCCATGTAAACATCCTCAGCCAACTTTCCGTTAAGGAAGGCGGTCTTGACATCCATTTGCCAAATTTCATAATCATGAAATGCGGCAATTGCTAGCATCACTCTAATAGATTTAATCTTCGCAACTGGTGAGAAGGTCTCATCATAGTCAACTCCTGGAGTTTGAGTAAAGCCCTTCGCAACCAATCGCGCTTTATACGTGTGTACGTTCCCATCCACGTCGGTCTTCTTCTTGAAGATCCATTTGCACCCAACGGTCTTACGTCCGGGCACATAATCAACCAAATTCCAAACTTGGTTATCGTACATGGATTGGATCTCGCTATCCATTGCCTCTTTCCATTTCGCAGACTCCGGGCCTGCCATGGCTTCCTTATAGCTATTAGGTTCATCAAGATTTACTAGTGTACCATCACTAATATACGTGTCCCCTTCGGTAGTAATATGAAAACCATAAAACTGGGGATGAACTCTAACTCTATCGGAACGTCTAAGAGGTAAGGACTCGTCAATCGGTTCAACCGGAGTTTCCTCCTCGGTTGAGTGCCAGCGGTAGAGGTTCCTTCATCTATCGACTCTTGAATCTCTTCAAGTTCGATTTGCCTCCCACTGTCTCCTTGGCTTATGAGTTCTCGCTCTCGGAAAACTCCTCTCCTCGCAACAAAGACAACGTTGTCCTTCGGTCTATAGAAGAGATATCCAAAGGATGTCTGCGGGTAGCCGATGAAAATACATCGCTCACTTCGAGGTTCAAGCTTGTCGTGAGTATCTCGTCTTACGAAAGCCTCGCAACCCCAAACCTTGATATGTGCCAACGAAGGAGCTTTCCCTGTCCACATCTCGTGAGGTGTTTTGGCAACCTTCTTAGTAGGGACTCGGTTAAGGATATGGGCGGCAGTCTCTAAGGCATACCCCCAAAAGAAGATAGGTAGTGAAGCACGACTCATCATAGAGCGAACCATATCCAATAAGGTTCGATTACGCCTTTCTGCCACACCATTCAACTGCGGTGTCCTAGGAGGCGTCAATTGCGAAACTATTCCACACTCCTTGAGATAATCGTGGAATTCAAGACTTAGGTACTCTCCTCCTCGATCGGATCGAAGCATCTTGATTTTCCTGCCCAATTGATTCTCCACTTCATTCTTGAACTCTTTGAACTTTTCAAAGGTTTCTGACTTTTGCTTGATTAAATAGATATACCCATATCTACTATAATCATCGGTAAAAGTCACATAGAAGCGGTTCCCATCCTTCGTGGTTGATCTAAAGGGTCCACATACATCGGTATGTATTAGGTCCAATAGCCCCTCACCCCTTTCACAAGTATTCGTGAAGGGTGACTTAGTCATCTTTCCAAGTAAACAAGACTCGCATGTGTCATCTTCCCTAAGGTCGAATGACTCCAACACTCCATCCTTTTGGAGTTGGGCTATGCGTTTCTTGTTGACATGTCCAAGACGACAATGCCACAAGGATGCTTTATCCATACTAGTGGAAGAATCAATATTCAAAACATCATTTCCTAAGTTATCAACAATCATAACAGTTTCATATATTCCATTACACGGTATAGCTTCAAAGTAAAAGACACTATTTAGATAAGCCAAAATAGAACCATTCTCATTATTAAAAGAAAATCTAAATCCTTGTCTATATAAACCATGAAATGAAATGATGTTTCTAGCCATTTCTGGCGAATAGCAACAATTGTTCAAATCTAAACATAAATTATTCCTAAGCACTAAAGAATACACTCCAATCTTGGTAACAGGCGACGATCTTCTGTTCCCCATGATTAGATTGATCCTTCCTTGCTCCACATCCCTACTTCTTCTTAGTCCCTGCACATTTGAACAAATGTGATAACCACAACCGGTGTCAAGAACCCAAGAAATAGCATGATTAGAATCGTTAGATTTAATTGTGTATATACCTGCGAAAGATGGCTTGATCTTTCCTTCTTTGATTGCTTGCAGGTATTCTGGGCAGCTTCTCTTCCAATGTCCTATCTTGTGGCAGTGGTGGCACTCTGCCTCCTTCGGGTTAGGACAGGGCTTAGTGGGATCAACTTTGGTCCCACTAGAAGAGGCACCATCTCGGGCTTTAACCTTGCGATAGTTCTTCGATGAAGCCTTCCTCTTATTTCCCTTTCCTTGACCAATTGCCAAGACAGGAGCAGCAGACGGATTGGGAGTAGGTGCAACAGACTTGTCTTTGAAGTTGCTCTCAGCGACCCTCAAAAGACCTTGGAGTTTGCTTAGGGTGACCTCGTCTTTGTTCATGTGGTAGGTCATCCTAAATTGGTTGTACATCGGAGGCAAAGAGTGAAGCACCATGTCGATCGCCAAGTCTTCCCCAAAGTCAACATTTAACTTGCGAAGGCGATCGACATACCTTTGCATCTTTTGCAGGTGCACGGTAAGAGATTCTCCATGACCCATCTTAGCGGAAATCATGTTAGTGAAAATCTCATAACGCTCTTGTCTCGCGTTTTGGTGGTATCTCTCCAATAAGTCTTGATGCATCTTGTATGGGTACATGTCCTCGTAGGACTTTTGGAATTCAAAGTTCATGGTGGCAATCATGATGCAATGTACCTTCGTTGCATCTCGCTCATGAGTATCAAAAGCGGTGATTTCGGCCGGAGTAGCGATTACGGGGTTGATCTTATCAAGCTTTTCATCGAGGACATACTCCTTATCCTCATAGCGAGCAATGGTGTGAATGTATCTTATCCATTCGCTAAAGTTCGTTCCATCGAAGGTGACGTTTTGGCAAAGGCTCATCAACGTGAAAGAACTAACAGCAACGTTGTTTGCGTTCGACATCTATAGAAAGGACAAAGATAGATTAGAATAAGAATCCCTAATTATCACCCAATAAGAAAAATTAGGGTTAGGATCCAACAATAACATTTACATATTAGAAAAGGGATGCCGTAATCTAACATGAAAATAAATTGAAGGTAAGTGAATGATGATTCACTAATTCTCCATTACAAAACCTAGACTATTAGTCCTAAGTGTATTGAGAATTCCTAGGTTCGGATGAGATTCATTGAAACTATTCAATGGCACGTTTAAATCTCGATATGCCCCTCTTGTTTGTGACTGGGATACCTATTCGATGTGAATTACCATGCAAATTCACATGGTGCCTTCATTGTAACGATCACCTATTCGATGTGCCGGTAAACCACACACGCTCCATCGAACTATGATAAACAATGAATCACCCTTTGCCACCTTTGCTTAGAACCAATTAGTGTGCCGGTAAACCACACACGCTCCACTAACTTCTTAGCAAGGGTGCAAAGTGTAATTTCATGGGATTGCATCAATTCACTTTTCCTATAGTAACTAAGATTGGGAAATTTTTAAAATGTGTAGTTACTTTGTATTACTTATTATACTTTTAATGAGAGGATGAGGTTGCCCTATCCTACCCGTTCGGCTAACGACCCTCCACCAATCAAGCAAGCGGTGGGTGTGAGTGTACACCCATTAAGCGCCATTTTATAGGCCGCAACCTTATACCCACCTTATAGATCGGCTTCGTGAATGAGGCCTACTAACGGTAAGACTAGCATTTAGTTATACATACATATATATATATATATATATATATATATATATATATATATATATATATATATATATATATTATTCTAGTAATATCATATTAGTATAAGGTTGTGTTTTAAACCTTTTAAAACGTAGGGTTTGAAATTTAAGTTGTCTAAATTAAAACTTTTAATCACAATATAAATTTCAAAATGTGAGGGCAAGTTTTAAACATTTAAAACATGGAGGATCAAATAACAAATAATTCCAATTAACAATTAATATCCTAATTATCTATATTTGATTTATCCAAGATTTCTTTTAAGATAATTACCAAAATAATCAAAATAATTAATTAATTATCATATAAGGAAATTAAATATTTTATTAGATGATAAATATCTTTAATTAGATCAAGATTATAGTCATATATATCAAAAAATCGGATTAGGGTTGATCTAATATGATTAAGGTAAGTTTCCATAAGATAAACATGAAAAAATCCCGGTTTTGGCTAATCCTGACGCCCGGACTCGCCGAGTACACAAAGGGACTCGCCGAGTCAGGGCAACTCGCCGAGTCCACTTTGGAACTCGCCGAGTCCATGACTCAGAACCCAAAAAATCGAATTTTGCAGGTTTGTTTCAGTTAATCAAGCAACAATTTAAAGAAAACCAAGCTAGGCTCTGATACCACTGATGGGTTTTAGCCATAAGAACTTTCCTATGTGCGCATGCAAAACCCTAATGCTCGGATCTAGGCTTTCTAATTAAACATGCTTTGAATCCAAGACTTCTAATGCCTAATTAGGTTAAATAACAACATTGAAATAGATCTAGAACCATACCTTTGAATTCCTTGTTGATCTTGTTGTCTTGGAGCTTCTAGAGTCACAAATGTCACTCCTCTAATGGCTTACAAACACCAATAGCAAGAAAGATGATTTAGGAGAGAGGAGAGGGGAGGAATTCGGCCAGAGTATCTCTACTTTAGATGGTGTGTCGAATTCCCTCACCCCTAGGGTCTATTTATACTTGTAGACTCCTTAAGGATTACAGCTTTAACCCTAATTGGATAACTTAGACTTTAAGTTAATCCATATCCTTTCCTTGATAACCCTATGGACGATTGTTGGCTTATCCAAGCCCTAGAAATCGTCCATCCTATCTTGGATAAGGATTTATAGTCTAAAGTGTAACTATCAAACAATTGACAGTTTATACCCTCTTATTTAATTAATCTCTTTAAGTCACCAAATTAATTCCAATTAATCTATGACTTATATTAATCAAATAACCATATATTATTCCTTATAATATTTACTCTCTCTTAACAAATCATCCATCAAGTTGCTATGGTGAAGGCAACCTAAAAGGACCATTCACAACTGGGTCAAATACTTACCTAATATAGTTGCAGCCTTAGACACTATTCCAACAAAATGTAAAGCATGCAGTTATATATTATTGATCTAAAGATGTAAAGTGGAATACTTTCTTTACCTCTCATGAGGAGAAGAGCAGCTGTAATTGCAATTCCAGCAGATAAAGTTGGGTGTTCTCTTACAGTTGTGAGTTGATATGTTAAGACACAAAAGTATGAGAGAAAACTAATCCAAGAAATATCAACTTATCAAGCCTCTAAAATATGGCATCACTGTTGATTTTTTATCATGAAATAAATCTTTGGTAGTTGTAAAAAAGAAAAATTCACCTTTGATCTTACTGAACACCAAATCTTCATAACTCCTATACTGTGCTGTGTATTGAACTACATGATCCTGGAAATGAACATGAAAAGTAAGACTTGCCAGTGTCTTATAAGAAATTGAGGTGCGATTTTAACTGATAATCACACAGAACAACCTAGAAAGGGTAATAAAGTTAACAATCAGATTGCATAAATGAAGGAGAGATAACTAATTTGGCTCCAACTTATGCTGCATAAAACTTATATTCTTGAGAAGAATTGTCAGTGTCTTATGTAAAATTCATATTCTAGGGGGACAATTCTGATAATCTAGTTGAGTATTTAAGTAGCATGCTAAAAAGAGCTTCTAATGTGCACCATCTTCTTAACCTACCCGAAATATAAGCATGTATACACAAACTTGAATCACGGTTGATCATTTATGTATCAATCTGTCTCTTGTTTACATATAATGGAGGTATGTGATTACATTAAGATAAGTTTCATACTAAAAACAATAGAATCTCAATGACAAGCAATCATCCCATAGATGAAAAAGCCACCTGAAATAGCATGCAAAGAGATACAGATACGCATTAACGCATACGAACAACTAGACTATATATCAAAATACCAAATTTAAATTATCATACTAGTCCTTAATAAAATCCATCATAGAACGCACGCAGATAAACATTCATCGTATATACGGAAACCCTAACTATAAGGAAAGCTGCACAAGAAATGAAACACACCCGAACATGAGACATAGATATTGATAGAGTACCTTAAGAGTTCGAATATGAGTGGACGAATTCTGCTGTAGCGACCGGGCGGAGCAAATGGCGGAATCGGCAGATTCCTGAACCGTACGAGGTAGATCCTTGTAAATGTAGGAATGTCATGGCTTTTCTTGCTGTTGATTCTCTGCTGTCTCGTCTGCTGTATTGGATGGTGAATTAGCGGCAACGTCGCCGATCATGTTCTCCTTGCTCCTCCGTTTCTCGATCTCCCAATTTGTTTCAGTTGATTCCTTCTTCCACCTTTTACCCTTTTCTTCTCAGCCTACCCAATCCCATCTTCTCCCCAAATCACTCCAACCCCTAACCCCTAATTCACTAATTCAACAGTGGGATTAATTTTGTATTTACGAGAAGATAGAGAGGAAGAAGATTAATACGAAAGTAAAATAAGCGCACCGTTGGGCCCCATTTCATCTGTTTGTATTTGTGGTTCACCATCTTCAGATATGAATGCCATTTCATCTGTTATTGTCATAGAAACAAATCATTAAAAACATCAAAAAAGATATATGAAATATTAGAAAACCAATCGGATTCTTCTGGAATTAGGGTTCTAATATTCTGATCATAGGAAAACAGTTCATCAATTTGACCAGATCAAGGTAGCCTCAATTTCGTGCTTCATATTTCATAAACCATATCAGTAAGAAGAAATTGACAATATTCAATTAAAAATGAAACAAGAACCAAAAAAAGTTAAAAACAAATAATGAAAGGGAGACGGTCCCAAATCTATTAGGTATAAACAGTTCTTTTTTTGTTGATTGGTTTAATTGAGGCAATCCATCAAACACTTGGTATGCATTTTGAATAAAGAGAAACCATGAGACAACTATTATCACTTACATACTTCCAACTTACAAGCCACTCCATCAAAAACAATCATGTTAGAAATTAAAAGAAATAGATTGTATGGTATGTAATCAGATTTAACAAGACTAATTTATTATATCAAGAACAAAGTCAAACAATCTTGATATGAATAAATGGAATAAATGTTACCTAGCATAAATAATCCCAATGTGGTTCATAGGTTTGACCATTTTCATAATGAAATATTTCCATAGCTTCTCCATTTTCAATAGGCAGAAATGTCCAAGCAGAAATCCTTGATTCAATTCCAGCAACAACTTTATCCTTCAAATCAAAGATCAAACATTACATATATTGTTCAGAATTCCTCATTGATGTTACATATGTTTAGGTTTGATTATGAACAGAATCACAGATGAATCGGTTTACCTGAGCATTGTTGAGAAACATGTCAGAGCTTGTTCAGACTTCACTTTCTATACTCTTACCAGATTCATTATTGGAAACCATGGATTTCTCGATCTTATCCTTCGCATGATCATCCAAATTCATGTCAAATTGGTTAATTCAATCTTTTTATCATTGATGTATGAGTTTAACCATAAAAAACCTCATCTTCAAGAGCAATCAAGTGATAAATCAAAATTTATGTTCATGGTGAAAAAATTTCTTACCTGCAACTGTCTCCAATTGGGGACCATTGATGCCTGATCCTTGTTTGTTTTGATCCACATTCTCGCTTCCATGCTGTAAATCATCTATCTTCTAGACTATGGTCTCGTCAGATTCATCATTTTCTAGGTAAACGATTCCATCTCCTTCTCCTTGCTTCCCTTTACCAACATCCTCACTTACTAGCGGTAAATCCTCTGTAACCTTATCTCCACCCGCATCTGGTTCACCGCACTCATTTATCACTTTGTTCACATCACCTACTACAGAATTCTCCAAAACGACTTCCACCTTGATCATCGATTCAGAAGAAACAACAGGAGATTTTTTGCACCTTATAGGCATCTTCAGAGGAGGCATGTCTTATTTGTATATGACCCAACCTCAATGACTTGTTTGACAGGACGAGGTTTAGGGTTCTTGTAGCTATTAAAGGCAATGAAAGTACCAATTGATTAACACACACACATACACAAAGTGAGAGAAAGAGAGAGAGAAAGAGGGGGGGAGAGAGAGAGAGAGAGAGATGAAGGAGGCATGTCTGATTTGGTAACTTTTTTGAAGATGACTATTGTTTAGGGCTATCAGTAGCACCGTCGTCTCTGCTACCACAATGTAATAAACAAATCGCCTTTGAAGGCCTTTCATCATCTTGCACTGCCCTTACTTCCTCCAGTGACAATTTTGAACTAGACAGGGAGAGGTAATGAGTCGCCAAAGAGATTTTTGTTGAAATCGGACCTAGGGCTTGTAAGTACAACAAACAATCACAAGAAACCTTCATCCCCGGTGAGGTGGGTGATTGAAGAGAGATTGTAGATGGAAGAGAAAGTGGAGATGGAAGTGAACGAGAGATGGAGACGGAACCAGACCTAAATCGACATGGCGGGTTTTCAACTTTTCTAATTTTTGAGGAATTCCTTTTCCCGCTACTAAAAATGAAGATGTGCGCGTTTCATTAAAAAAAATATAAAACGACATGATTTCACGACGCCCATTTTTTGATAGGTGCCTTCCGTATATATATATATATATATATATATATATATATATATATATATATATATATATATATATATATATATATTTTGTAACACTAATTTTAGGGTACATAAAAATGCGCGTCTTAAATCTTTCACATTTTGGGAGATCTAACATTATTTTTAGGGCACCCACTTTTGCTTATAGTAAAACAGCGTGTGTCATGGTTTGCACGTCATTAAAGGGTATTTTTCTAGTAGTGATTATTACCTTATTCAAACCTATCTTATCGTTATGTGGATACGCAAAAACTTGTCGACCTCCTTTTTATGAAAAGTTCTAGAATATTTTGATTAACCACAAGGATTTAATTAATATTCAACTCATTTAATTAATTAAAACTATTTAATTAATTACCAAAATAATTTCTAATAAATTTATGAATATTCCTTCCGTTTTTTTTTTTTTTTTTTTTTTTTTTTTTTTTTTGTAACACTAATTTTAGGGCACGTAAAAATGCGCGTCTTAAATCTTTCACATTTTGGAAGATCTAACATTATTTTTAGGGCACCCACTTTTGCTTATAGTAAAACAGCGTGTGTCATGGTTTGCACGTCATTAAAGGGTATTTTTCTAGTAGTGATTATTACCTTATTCAAGACCTATCTTATCGTTATCTGGATACGCAAAAACTTGTCGACCTCCTTTTTATGAAAAGTTCTAGAATATTTTGATTAACCACAAGGATTTAATTAATATTCAACTCATTTAATTAATTAAAACTATTTAATTAATTACCAAAATAATTTCTAATTAATTTATGAATATTCATTAATAAAGTAACAACTTATTTTCTCCATTCCTTAATGATATTTGTGTCATGAGGTCAATCCAAAAGGATCCTATTATCTTTAGAAATATTAACAACTAGTTAATGACATTTGGCACCATTTCCAACATTGTCCCACTTGAACAAGTAGTTAACTTTTGAAGGTATTATTACTTCTTAATTAACTAGTAGAGAGTAGTCATCCAATGCAACTTCAAATCACTTGATCTTAATCAAGTTTAGCCCATAGATAAGTGATTTGTTATTCCATTATTATTGATATCTGTATTAACTTGAGACATAGATAATGATCAATCTAAGAGTTCAAACCATAATGTTATGTTTAATTTAAAACCAAAATATCAAAAGTATTTAATTGTAGCGGAAGTATAAGTATCAAGAAGTAAATAATGTATCCAAGTGACATCTTTATTCTAAGGATAAACTACTCAAAACTGACCCTATCTCACCAAGCCAAGCTCCAAACCTACCTATAGCAACCATAGAGGCACATAACAAAAAAATAAGTTTCAACAAATGCTTCGTGAGCCAATACGAATTTGTACACAATCAAAGAGAAAACGTATAGTCCCCTAACGGGCAAACCATTCAAATTATAAACATGTAAACGGAAATTGCATATCAACTGTCAGCCAATCATTGTTCATATATCATTCCATCATTACTCAATCAATCTTATATTATTCATTCGTATATCATAGATGATATTTCATGCATAATCCTATGATAATCGTATATCATTATATCAAAGGTATGTATTTTAATCGTATAGGTGTAGGTAGTCTCGTAGTGGTACCTAACCCAATGGGAAATACAATGTTCTCTACTAATGTGCTTAGTCAGTAAAATACTCTAAGTGGCTCATGACTTCTATCCGAAACATCAACCCCAAGACTTCCACTTTCGCTACTCCGACCTGTAAGGAACGAGGACCTGAGATGCTGTTCAGGATGGATACAAACGGTGCCAATTTTGCGATACACCTCCCCGAATACCACGTGTACTTGATTCGACCTTGATCGAATAGCCAACATCATTCCAGTCCACCAACACCGAAATGTATGCATACCATATGTCGCACAATCATATAGAAAGGCCTAGAAACTCTTCAATTGACATACGCTCTTTTCCTAGAAGGTATATTGCAACAAACTAGGTTCGAAGGTATCCGAATAAGGTTTCGAGCTAAGTGTTAGGTTCTACCCTTTCCCTCTATGCATAACCCCACATAATTAATCGTAAATCAAGTACAATCATGCCATATTTATATAATCATAATCAAGATTCATATCATGTATACACTAGAAGATACTCAACAAGATTATAGTCAAATATCAAGCATTTCATATTGCATATCATAGTTTCAGATAATCGTACCAAGTACCAAGATATGCGTATCAACAAAATTTAAGAAGTATACAATTATCACAAAAGGCAAAACAATAACATATCTCATATTGCACATATTGGCATAGTCAATAATTAATAATATCCTAATTTGACTAATAGATCCGTTTCCGGAAATTAGTTTTCGACTATGTACAAGGTTTATGAAAAGTCTATCAATTCACCTTAGCTTTTTGATATATATGGTTTCATAACCTTCACCTCGTAATCTCAATAAGTCCATTGATGGAGCTTCTTTAGGGCTAGGGGGATGTGCCCCCTCCCCTTGTTTTCTTAAAATTTGTCCTCTACTATAATTTTTTTTTTTACATATTAGGCCTAAAACTATAAAATTTGACTTTGCCCCCCTGTTTTCCGGCTTTATACACATTATATTGTCGCCTCCCAAATCAAAACTTCAAGCTTCGTCACTGGTTAAGTCGTCAAGAACCTAAACATAATATATGTAAATATTATCATATTTACATTTTATTAGTTTATATAACTAATATTATTTGATAGAAAAGCTTATAATCAAAGGCAATAGGCAATTAATAACGTTTTCATCTTATTAATCACCTTTATAACTTTACTACAATGTACAATCTAAGCTTATGTAAGTAAAAGTTATGAGATAATAAATTAGAATTTTCTAATTGTTTACCACTTATGTTTTTTAAATAATCAATATTTAACATGTTTTCAATTAGTAATCTTGACCTGTCTGTTTTAATCCCTAATACTTGTGCGTAATAAATAAAAGAAATAATTATAATATCGTCTAGATGGTATAGAATTCAATGGTTCCAATTCACTTGTTAACTAAAAATCCATATTAACCATGACTTACAGGTTCGTTTAGCTCTTATCAACCAAAGCATAAACCATCCAATTTCTTATCATAATTGCATAGCATGCATATGCACCAATACACCGGTAGCCTATAAATATATTATTTATTGGTAAGGTTCGTATGACGCGACAACTCACCAACATTAATTACATATCATTTTCTAGTGACTAACAACAAGATGGATTGGGGCATCATAGTAAATCAACAGAAAAGGATAATAAAAGTTACAAACTTGCAGGAGGAAAAGTAAAGGGAACTTGGTGCACTAAATTTGTAGCCTCAAGATTTCGTGATATCTTAAGGCTAAGGGGAGATAAAATCATGGTAACACTTCAATTATCACATGTATATTGTATGTATTCAATTAGGGTTGAGAAATACACTTGATTGGATCAAAAGAAAATCGACAACAAGGTTCACGAACAGGGAAAGAAAGAAAAACAAGAAGATCACCTATAGCCAAATTTAAAAGGAAAGGCGGTAGAATAAAACCTACCAGATAGAATCCAAAGGCAATTCTTTTGTTTTCATTTTATCCAAGCCACGCCACGAAGAGGAACCATAGTCCCTCCAGAGTCCTTCTCGTCGTCGAAAAAGCTTCGCAGCTCCCTTCCTCCTCGTAGCTCCGTTCCTCTCTTTCTTTCTTCCTCTCTTCTCTCAACCATGGCTCTTTATGTAAGGGATATTCTTGGTGTTCAAGTTGATAATGGAAGGAAAAGGAAAAAGAAACGGTTCTCCTAAGGTTTCTTATCGATTTTTCTTATAGGGAAGTTACAACATGTGATTTACGAGCTCATACACCAACTGAATTCCAATTTAAAACTATGGTCCTTGAACTTTGATACCTATTCCATTAATAACCCTAACCATAATAAACATGATTTCCTTTTTTTACAATCGTTTAATTAGGTATTTAAATGGAAAATAAAATAACCCTCTTTTAATCATTTTGAATTATTAGGTAAATCTCAATATTAGTTAAATACCTTTAATCATTTAAATTACTAATTAAATCCTAGATAATATTTAATTATTATATAATTCTTTTAAATCCTAATTACTCTTTTTTTATACATATTATTATATATTAAGCATATAATTCTATAGGAAACATATGTACAATTTAATCCTATATAACGGAATATTAACATCGTTAACAAAGAGAGTTTTGGGTCGTTACAACAACCGATTGTGGAATTTTTAAAATAATTAAATATTCTGGAATTGGATTCAAAACATGAGTGAAACACTGTAATAAAAACACAATTAGCAACAAATGCTCTTTATTAA